AAAAAAAAAAAAAAATATCCTACAAAACTAACCCAATGAAGCCTCTTCTCTGGCTGCAGGTGATTATGCAAGTGTCTCTGGGGACAGAGGAAATGATCCTTCCCCAGCACACTCAGTCTGTACCACACGATATCGCTGAGTGCATGGTACGTGGCAGCCTGGAGGCGTGGACACTGCTTGGACCAGGAATCAGCACAGCCTTAACCATACACTGGCCCTGTTCCCTCAATTCATAAAACAGGACCACCGCTTTCCCCTTAATAGACCAAGGAGTCAGTACTGTCTGACCTGCTTTCCTGAGCACATGGTGAGGATATAGTAAGATATTCCTGCTAATGGCCACACACACAAAAAGGGGCTTGCCTTTCCTTCAGAAGGGCATCTCATTGAGGGCAAAGCAGCAAGCATCAGCTCTGTGCCCTCTGCACCTCCCACCCCTGTGCCCTGCAGAGAAGGCGCACACAGGAAATGCTTGTGATGGATGGAGATCAAGTCCAGGCCCCACTGAACCTCAGGACCTCCTGCCCAGCTTCCCATCCCTCACCTGCTCTCCTCGCCCTCCAGCAGCTTTCGGTAGGTGGCGATCTCCATGTCCAGCGCCAGCTTAATGTTCATGAGCTCCTGGTACTCACGCAGCTGCCGTGCTATGTCCTGCTTGGCCTGCTGCAGGGCAGCCTCCAGCTCCTTCTGCTTGGCGTGAGCATCCTTGAGGGCAAGCTCACCATGCTCCTCAGCCTCGGGAATGGAAGCTTCCAACTTGGCATGCTGCAGGCAATAATGGAGCTGTGAGCTGGGTGCCAAGGTGCACTAGCCACTTCCTTCTCATCCTGGATCTAGCACCTGGGAAACTTGCTTCAGGTAGCCTTGTTGGCACCACGGAGTCCCAAGAGTTAATCACATGAATTGGGATTTCCAATGCCAGGTTCCAAGTCTGGCTCTGCCACTTACTAGCTATGTGTCCTTGGGTGAATCAATCCTTCTAAGACAAAAATCTCCTCTCTGAAAACAGCAATAATCAGCCACACATGGTGGTGTACACCTGTAATCCCAATGATTTATGAAGCCAAGGAAAGTAGATTGCAAGTTTGTGGCCAGCCTAGCAGTTTAGCAAAACCTTCTCTCAAAACAAAAAGGGATGGGAATATAGTTCAGTAGTAGAGGGCTTGGCATCATGCATGAAGCCTGCATTTGATCCCTAGTACATAAAAAATAAATTTTAAAAAGAGCAATAATCATAGTGTCTCCCTCACAGGGATATTGTGAGGATGAAATAACACACAAGAAGTCTTGGCACAATGTTTAACACACAGCAGGTCCTCAGTAAGTGCTACAGTAATTACTACCATTCATAAATGCTACAATGATTCACAAATCCCTGTCCTCCAGTCCCTGGTTCCAGAAACTCTAAGACCACTGATCCTGGCTGTGACCCCAAATGCCAGGCTGCTGACAAGGACTAGAAACCATCTTTAAAATAAGAAACAGTTGGAAACAACCCAGAACAGGGTGTCATAGTGCAAAGAGATCCCCAGTGTCATGGGATGCATGATCCACAGGCCAGGATCTTGGCAGGGATGGGGTTTTGATGGACTTGTGTCAGCCTTGAGCAACTACCATTTGCTACACAGCCTTAGAGCTCTCCCTCTGTGGGACCTTCCCCTACCAGCAGCTAGGTCAGGCCTAGGTTCCTCCTGTTGGGTTCATTCGGAGAGCTGCTGTCCCCATGCCCCACCCTTGGCTTCTCCTCCTCCCTGCTCATCTAGCATCTTCTGCCCTTGGGTCTTCCTCCCTCTGTGGAGGCCCATCCTTATTGTCCCTCAGCCACCATTCAGTACTCTGCCCTGTTGCCAGTGTCCCTGGGCCAGGGCCACCCTGCTGCCTCTGGAGGCCACTCCCAGCTCTCTTGAGGGCCCTCCTGGTAACAGACACACTGATTCTGATGCCTGGCTCTGCCCCATTGTGTGAGAGAACTGTGTGGTAGAAGCCGAGGTTTGAGAAACCACCATTCATTATCCCACGCCACCTGTTGTGGCTCAGAAGCTGACCAGCTTCACAGGATGATTCATGCCCCTGCATCTGTTCCAGGAGGCAGCCTCTCCCCTTTGTAAACAGGCGGGGGTGGGGGTGGGGGGTCTGATCCCCCAGCCCTCTGGAAATAAGCTTTCTGAAGCTGAAGCACTTGCTACCTGCCCTTCCCCCACTGTAGACACCTGCATCTCTGCCAGGGTTTGGGGACCCCTCTCTTATCAGTCAGCATCCCCTAACTCTAGCTGCCAGCAAAGAACATCCTCAGAGTGTCTCATCTGAGACCTGCACGCCTATTATGGGCCAGGTGCCAGAAGAGAGGACTCATGAACCAGACAGATGGGGTCCCTGCTCTTAAGGCATTTTATATTACGGGGGGGCATCTATAACTTAATATTAAGACAGAACATTTCAGAGTGATAGGTGCTCCAAAGAACTTCAGACAGACTGCCGATACGGTGGGGTGTTTGAGGAAGCCATCTTTAAGAAGGGGGGCGTCTTTCCGGGCCGGGGATTTAGCTCAGTGGTTCTGCTGCCTGCCTTGCAAGCGGAAGGACCAGAGTTCGATCCCTGGTACCAAAAAAAAAAAAAAAGAAGAAGAAGGACTCCTTCATCCTAAACCCCAGAGATGAGAAAGAGACAGTGATGAATGGAAATGGGAGAACCACATTCCAGGTGGAAGAAAAGCCAGTGCAAAGGCCCTGGAGTGTGAACTTTCTTAGCAAATCCAAGATACAGGAAGCAGGCTAGGGTGACCTGAGCAGAGGGAGAGAGAGAGGGGAGCTGTGGGAAGTGAGGACAGGAAAAGGAAGGGACTTGTAAGCATGGTAAAGTTTTCTACTAGCCTCAGTCTCCCCTGTGAACTGTGAGCTCCCAGATAGTGCAAGCTACCCAAGAACTAGGTACAAGCAGAGGCCTCAGAGCCAGTGTGGTTCCTAAGGATGGTTTTCCACTAGCCAGCCAACTGGAGATTCTTTCCAAAGGCTCTATGTTTAGCTAGGAATATTCTCCCTCCAACCTCAAGCCAAGTCCTGGCCAAGAGCATTCTGTCCTGGAGGTCTCACCAGTTTGCCTAAAATGTGAGTTGCACCAGCCCAAGGCAAGGGAGAATGGGATGCCACCCCCTCCAGCCTCCTGCCCTTCACCCTGAGCTTGGACTTCTCAGCTGGCTGCTTCTCAAGTGCCCCAAGGAGCAGGGAGAAAGGAGGGCTCGTCCCCACCTGGTTCTTGATGTTGTCAATCTCAGCCTGCAGCCTCTGGATGGCACGGTTCAACTCCACAATCTCATTTCGGGTATTCCGGAGGTTCTCCCCATGTTTCCCAGACTGGGCCTGAAGGATCTCAAACTGAAAGGGCCATGCAGAGAAGTATAGCAGTGAGTGGGCAGACAAGGATTACAGGCAATCAGTCCCTCTCCACCCAGGGAAAGCTCCTCCCCACTTGGATTTCCAGGGGAGAACAGTCAGACTCCAGCCAACCTCACCCAATGTCAGGAGGCCAGAGTGCTAGGCAGTGGGGCAGAAAGAAATTCAGCCCCTCCTAGCCAGGACAAGGACAAGGACAAGGAAGGCTTCTGGGGCCTCTGCCTATTGACTCTGAGGTTCTCCCACTCCCACCCTGCCTTGGCGCTGAAGAATCACAGAAAACCTGAGATGCTATCCTGTTCAACAGCCCCCTCCCAGCCCCACCCAGCTCACAGATGTAGAGATTGAGTCCTGGGAAAACATGGTCCAGGGATCACACAGCAAATCAAGAACAGCTCGGGCTTGAAGCCAAACCTCCTCATTGGTGTACCTATGCTCTCTCCCATGCACCAACCTCTGCAGAGACCTCCCTCCTTGCTGCTTCTCAATCTGCCTGGGGCCCTCCTCCAGGAGCACTGCTCCACCCCACCATTCCCACCCACCTGCTTAGCACTGGCACTGTTGACTGTCCTGGCCCCACGAGGATGTGCACTGATTACACCTCCCAGGTCTGCAGCCCTGGGATTTGGGATCTACATAGTCCCCATTCTTCCATCTACTAGCTGTGAGGAAATAGGCAAATTACTTACTCTCTCTGTGCCTAAGTTTCCTCATCATTAAAATGGCAATAGTAATGGTGCCCACCTGAGAGAGCTATGAGGATTAAATGGGTCAAGAAAGGTAAAACAGGGCCAGGGATTTAGCTCAGTGGTTTTGCCACCAGCTGCACAAGCACAAGAACCCTAGTTTGATCCCCCGTACCAAAAAAAAAAAAGGAAAACACTGGAAACATCACCTATGTAAGTATGCCGTGCCTGTGTAAGTTCCTAAACTGTACCTAGAACTATGTACTTGCCACATTTGAGTTACTATTGATGCATGTCTGTCTCCTCTGCCCAGCCTTTCCAGCAGGCTGGGATCTCCCCCAGAGCAGGGACCTGGCCTGTGAATCCACTTCCTCCCTAGGCTCCAGAGTGCACCACAGGCTTAACCATGTGCCTGCCAGGTCAGTGAGGCTCCAGGCCCTGAAGCCTTGAGACAAGGGGAAGAGGAAGGGAAGCCTCAACAAGGGCCCTGGCAGGAGGAGGAAAAATGCCCCAAGTAGCTCCATACCTTCTTCTGGTACAAGGCCTCGGCCTCCGTCCGGCTGCGGTTGGCCATCTCCTCATACTGAGCCTTGACCTCAGCGATGATGCTGTCCATGTCCAGGCTGCGGTTGTTGTCCATGGACAGCACCACAGATGTGTCTGAGATCTGGGACTGCAGCTCAGCCAGCTCCTGCAGGGACCAGATGAGAGGCTGAGACTGAGGCGTGACCCACCCCTATCCCCACACTGATCCCGGGACTCTCCATATAGGGGACAGGAGAAGACAGGAGAGGCTGGAGTGGCTGAGCAGCCGAGCAGCAAGAAGCCCAGACCCAGCGCAGGCTTAAACCACTCTGCCCACCCCTGGCTCTGGATTTTCAAAACAGCAGAGTCTGGTAGGACTAAAGGAGATCAATGAAAATGTGGGGCACTGACAGTGAGGTCCCCTTGGGCACAAGTTCTACTGTGATGGGGTCAGTGGAGGATGGCAAAACAAATAATATTCCTCCTTATGGATGGAATACTCTACAGCCTTTAAAACTGGTGATACAGTCAGGTGGGGCAGTAACATTCCTGTAATCCCAGCACTCTGAGCAGGCTGAGGCAGAAGGATCAAAAGTTTGAACCCACCTGGGCAATTTAGCAACTTAGCAAGAGCCTGCCTCAAAATAAAAAATTTTAAAAGGCAAGGGAAGCCTGGTGTGGTGGCACACACCTGTCATCCCAGCACTTAGGAGGCTGAGACAGGAGGATAGTCATGAGTTCAAGGCCAGACTGGGCTATGTAGCGTGTTCAAGATCAGTCTGAACTATATAGTAAGACCCTGTCTCAAAAAAAAAAAAAAAGGGGGGGGGGGGGGCGCCCTCCAGTGAGAAGGCTCTAGGTTCAACCCCCAGTATTCTTAAAAAAAAAAATCCTGGTGATATAGCTGCATGTATGAACCAGGAAGTATGTCCACAGTGTGCTATTAGGTTAAAAACGGGCATGACTCTACTTTTTATAAAAATATATATCTTGGGCTGGGGATTTAGCTCAGTGGTGCTGCCACCTGCCTCACAAGTGCAAGGTCCCGAGTTCAATCCCCGGTACCAAAAACTAAACTAAAATAAAATCTAAAAATATATATCTTTATATCTCTGTGCAAATACATGCACAGATACTCTGGCATCACTAGGTATAAGTGATTGTTTTCCGTTTTACGCCTTACTTAATTTTCTGGGGGCGTTTTTTTGCAATGAGTATTACTTTCACAATGAGAAGAAACAACTATTTATTCTATGTAAGCGTGTGTAGAAGTGTGTGTGCGTATAGGTACAGATAATGCACTTATATAATCTGTGGCCAACACAGGCCAACCTGAACTGAGCTTAGATTGTCAGCAGTAGCCTCAAAAACCCAGCCCCCGAAACTATCAAACATGTAAAGACTTGTTGTAGGAGCTAATGGAGGCTAACGGTTTGGGTGAAGACTGGACAGAGAATGGAAAGCTGGTCTGCATTTAGCCCCGGCTGAGTCCCTTCCAGGTGACTGGCCTGCTCTATCATCTGCCTCAGGCCAGAGACTCTCACAGATGGAAGTGGAGGGGTTTTTTAATCCCCATGAAGAAAAACAGCTGGAAGCCCAGGAGAAGGTGACAAGGAGAGAATGAGAAAGAAAGTGTGGACCAAACCAGTGGGTTGGCGGGTGTCCATCCACCAGTCCCTCTGGGTGCAAACTCTTGGGTACCCTCCGCACTGGGGCTCCCCTGCCTGCGCCACCCAAACCTCCTTGGAACAACTCAATTGCAGCCAGGGATCACCGGACCTCTGCCTCTTTTCAGCCCCGCTCAGCCCCCTAACTGACAAATTCTGGGGTCATCCCACATCTCCTGAAGGTCAGTCCTGATCGACTGTGCTCTCTCTGCTACCACCAGCTCTTCCCTACTCCCTAGCCCATCAACATGCCTGAGTCCAGAGAGGACAAAAAATAGGAGAATATCCCCACCCCCAACAGAAAGCCAGACTGGCCCAGAGGCAGGGAGTTGGACCAGACAGGTCACGTAGGAGATGACCTGCCACCCATCCAGAGGTCCTCACCATCTCATTGAGGGTCTTAAGGAAGTTGATCTCATCACTGAGGCTATCCACCTTGGCCTGCAAATCCACTTTGTTCATGTAGATGGTGTCCACGTCCTGGGGGTGAGGGAAAAGAGGGCAGAGGAGCACTGTGTCCTCAGCATAGGGGATATTCAATAGTTACTAAAGCAACCCAGTCCAACCCACAGGCCCAAATGCCACTGGCCTAACACGAAACACAGTTCTCCTGACATGACTGTGGCAGGAGCTTGCTCCACAGGCCCTCCAGGCTACATGCTGAGCTTTGTCACCATGTGTCCCCAGGGCTGGTACTGACCTCACTTCAGGGCAACATAAAGCCCCAGACCTAGCATGTAACCAGTGCCTAAAAGGCCTATGGTGCGGACACACCCCAACTCTGCCATCATCTAGCTGTGTGACCTGAAACAAATCACTTCTGCTCTGTGAGGCTCAGCTTCTCTCAGTCTCTGGAGAACACATAATCATTCAGATGGTCAGATGCCATCCTAGAGATGAGACAGATCCTTGGGCCTGTTTAACTGACAGCATGGGTGACTCTGAGGCAGGTGGGCCACAGCAGCTCAGGTTAGAGGACAACTGGGCCTCTTCTAGTACACTTCACAGGGTTCAACTTCTGGGGGTGGGGCCCACTTTCCTTCTCTCTGGATCCCTAAGGACCCAACACTCTGCAGCAGGTTGCATGTCATTGGGTGTGCGCTCAGTCAGAATTGTAAAAAGCTGTGTAGCTCAAAGCCCTCTAAGACCCTCCTAACTCCAAGATCCACCTTTACACACCACGGATGGAGAATTCATCCTGCCTCCACACAGACCATTGTATTCACTCAGCAAACATTTCAGACCAGCCAGGTGCCACCCTTGTCTGGGATAAAATGTCCCCACTGCAATACAGCACTGCTCAGGTAAGAGGGACCCGTGATCTCCTGTCCCACATGTTTTCAGACCCCACCACCACCCCCGGCCTGTCTGCCCCTCACCTTCTTCAGCACCACAAACTCATTCTCTGCAGCCATGCGATGGTTCGTTTCCTCTTCATACCTGCATTAGGGGAGACACAGTGTTGGTGCAGCTCCTCCCCCAAGCCCCTCACACATAAGTGTGAAATCTCCCCTGCCTCCTTTTACTGCCTCCTTAATGACAAACCTGAAAAACAGGTGTTTGAGCTACAAAACCTACTTTCCCTGACTTTGCCATAACTATTTCTTGAGTTTTGAGTCTTGGCATGGAGAGAAAAGGGTGCAGGATAAAGGTTGCATCTACCAGGGGAAAGAAGGCAAGTGCTAGCCATGCTGTGGTCTGCCTTCTGGGGCCTGCATTAGTATGTATGTCCTGGACATCAACCCTCAATCCCATAGTGATGGCACTGTGATTATCAGAGAGGCAGAGTAACTGCCCAAGTCACTAAGCTGCTAAGGAGCAAAGCTCAGACTTGAGCCTTGGCAGATGACTCCACAGCCCATGACTTCACCACTGGCTCATCCCATGCCTGAGAAGTGAAGAAGGGACCTAAAGGGGAGGACATATGCAGAATCAGGACAGAGGATATAGAAAGTCCTAGAAGAGCTAGATGATCCACACTCATAGCTACTCCCATAACATCCCCTCCAGTCTCTCTTCCTCCCAAAGAGCCAGTCCTGGCCCTTAGGAAGACCCCAGAAAACAGAGCAAAGAGGGACAAACATTGGCCTAACCCAGTGTTTATTCAGAGACTCAAAAACAGGTGCAGGAAATAAGAGCTCAATAGCGCCCAAGAGCTGCTGGGAGCAGCAGAAGCAGCCTAGGGTGGCTCTGGTGGAAGACCGGATGGCCACACAGACCACCCCTCTCCGGGAGCCCAGGCTCAGGGTATTCACACTGCTAAAGTTGTACTTGAGTCCTATAGAAGCTAAGAAAATATCTATGAGTCCCTTTGTCCCCCCTGCCTCCACATTGTGTGAGGAGCATGGATTGTGTGGATTGGAGGACCCTGGGCAGCAGTACACATGGTCCCTTCCCAATGCCCACTGACAGCTCTGGCTTAAGCCCCAGGTCCACAAGAAGGAGCTCTGAGGGCCATGTGCAGGGGAGATCAGTATGTGCTGTATGTACATGCATGCACCTCTGTGTGAGTTCCTGACAGCAGGAGCTAGCTCTTACCCCAGGCCTTCCCTGCCCTGCACCTGCCTGGTTCCACCTGCTGTGGGATTAATCTGTTGACTTTTGTCCTAGGGAAGCAGCCTGTGGGCCCCAGAGGCCTTGTTTATTCTCTTAGAGTCAGAGCTAGAGTATGGCTCCAGCTTAGTCATGCAACCACAGGCAGAACACAGAATGCATTTGCTGCCCCCAATGCCCACTGGCAGGTGTGCCAGGGCAGGGTCCAGCCCAAGCCTCAAGCTCTGGTTTCCGTTTGATGAGAAAAGAGAGCTCAGCAAGCATTCAAAGGCCTGTCCCAAAGCCCCAGTCTTCCTGGCCCTCCTGACAGCCTCCTTTCTAGCTCTACCCTGACCAAACCCTCCCCTCAAGCCCCTGAAACCCTGCCCATCACTCGGGATGACCATTCTTCCTCCTTGTTCTTTCCTCCTCACATCAGCTCCTTGTTCCCTGCTGGGAGTTAGGGACTCAAAATTCAGGTCCCAGACCTCAGGAACCTACTATCTGAACCTCTCTGGTCTCTTAATTCCTCACCTGCACAAAAGAGAGCCGTTGTAGAACGATCTGTGAGGGTCACACAAGTTGTGGGGCACTCCTGTCGTGGGATACCTTTTGCCTGCCCTATCTTGGGGCTTACTCAGGGAAAAAACCATGCAAGTCAGGGTGGGCTGGACATTTCCCTCAGACTGAGTAAGGAGGAAAGATCAGAATGACCTGAAACAGCCCAGGAACGAGGGGAGAGGAAAAGCAGGCAATGTGTCAGTAAAGAACACCTCTCCAGGAGTAACTGCTGAGCAGCTGTGCACCCTGAGCCCTAGCCAGGGGGACTTGCGGAGGGAAAGCAGAGCGGGGTGCACTGTCTCTGGCAGAGGCCGTGGGGAACATACTTATTTTTGAAGTCTTCCACCACATCCTGCATGCTCCGAAGCTCTGCCTCTAGACAGCCCCTGTCCAACTGCAGCTTCTCCAGCTGGCCCCTCAGGCTAGCAATCTGTGCCTCAAAGACTCTCGGGAGGCTGCTGCTCTTAGCTGACTTCTGCTCCTGCAGCAATGCCCACTTGGTCTCCAGCATCTTGTTCTGCTGCTCCAGGAACTGTACCTGCATGGGGCAAGGAGGAGGAGACTCACGAGGGGCCCACTGTGCCACTACAGAAGGGTTGAGGAGAGTCTTGGGTCACCCAGCACAACCCGTGTTCTCACTGGCTGTCCTTCCAACCAGGGCCCCCAGTGCTTGTCCCTCTGCTCTGGAACTCTATCTCAAGTGTCTTCAAGTGGGAACAGTGACCAGGCAACTTGATATGCAGATCCATCGAGGTGTCCACCTTCCTTTGCTTCGTGTTGAATTCTCTTACTCCACCATCACCACCACCCAAGGGCCTCCTTCCTGTCTCTGGAAGCTGGGGCCACCCCTTTCCTTCAGGCTGAGAGCTCTTCTCTTCCTTCTACAGTATCCTTTCTCCTCCCCTTTCCTCCAGCAAGACCTCAGATGAGGGCTCTACAACCAAATCCATGCAAAAGGAGTGTCCCATATACCCAGCTCTGAGACCCAAAAAGGCCCTTAACCACAGCCTGTGTGCCAAGAATTGGGAGGCCAGAGGACCTCCTCAAAACCAGCAACTCAGGGAACGAGCACCTAAATGCACCCAGTAAGATGGCACAACAACAGCAGGGACCCGGCCTGGGGTGAGCTGTGGGCTTCGGCAGTACCTGAAGGATGTACAAGGCTGAATGGTAAAGGCAGTGATGACTCAGCTGGAGTAGGGGACACAAAGGCAGGAGAGGGAACGCTTCATCTCAGCCCAAGGGAGAGGGCCGTGCCCAGAGGCTCTAGCAGGGCCATAGCCCTTTCCAGTTCCACTTGCACCCACTTCCCCCAAACCCTCGAGTCAAGTCTGCCTCCCTCACCCAGGAGTCCATGAGAAGCAAGAACAGACAGCCAGGCAAAACACCTCCAAATGGCTCCTTCCTGGAGCCTCTCATTGTCATCCTGGTCCTGACTGGGCTATCTCTAAGGGCAAATGTCACCTCCCCTTCTACAGCAAAGGCAGGCAGGAGGAGCAGACAGGTGGGTGGATGGGGCCAGGAGCCTCCCTCCCTCCAGGCCTTTCTTTCCAGTATCTGCCTCGGCTGACACAGCCTCTGACCCAGGAGCCATTGTCTCCTCAGCTGGGAAGGCACGGCGCCCTGCCCAGGCTGGACTTCACACAGCCCCTGTCAGCGAAAGGGGTCCAGAGAGCCGAGACCTCCTGACTTGGCCTCTGGAGGTCCCAGCCTAACACTTTGGGCAAAACTTGCCCAGAGGACACAAGGACACAGCTGGCCAGAGCAGCCAGACGAGCTGGACACACTTTCCTGCCAGACAGGGAGGGGCCTTAGGGCCAGCTTGAGGGGTGGAGAAAGAGCTTGGGAGCTGAGAGGGACAAAATAGCAACATAGCTTATGTGGAGCGGAGAGAAAAAGGTCAGGCTTCCCAGAACCTGGCCCGCACGGTCGGGGCTACTTAAGGCGGCTGTGTGGCCTGGTGCGGGGCTCCTGGCAGGATCCTGGCTGGCTCACCTTGTCGATGAAGGAGGCAAACTTGTTGTTTAGGATCTTGATCTGCTCGCGCTCCTCTAGGCGCACCTGGCGGATGGAAGGGTCTATCTTCGACCGCAGTGGGGCCAGCAGGTTCTGATTGATGGTGACCTCGCGGATGCCGGCGCCCACTGACCCCGCAAAGACGGAGCGCACGGGCCCGCGCGGCCGCGCGGTGCCCAAGCCGTAGAGGCTCCCGTTGCTGGCGAAGCCTCCGCCCGGGAGCCCCGCGTTCAAGCGCACCTGGGCGCCACGCCTCGGGAGGGCGGCGGAGCGCGAGCTGAAGCCCTGCGTGCTGTAGTGGACGGACATCGCGGCTACACCGGGCTGGCCCCAGAGGCTAGAGAGGGGCTGAGCGAACTGGCTGACCTGAGGCCGACTGCGCCCCTTTTATCGCTCTGCGGAGCGCGGGCTGCGGGACCAGCACAGGTAGGGGCGGGGCGGGGCTGAGCGCCGCCACCTTTCTCGCGGCCAGGCCCCTCCTGGGTCGCACTTCCGCCCCTCAGCGCCTCCCGCTCACCCGACCTAGTCCGGCTTCCCGTCCCCGCAGGAACTGTCCGCAGTAGGCAGGTGCTCCCCATAGACGCCCCACCTCAGACAGGTGACCGCGGAGGACGGCAGGGACCAGCACCCCGAGCCATCTCTGGCCTCACAGTGAACCGCTCCCAGCTGGTGAGGGCCGGCTCCTCAGCAGGCTGGGCAAAGGGGCGAAGAGCATCCAGATTTCCGCCGCCAACCGAGGCCAAGCATTAAGGGACCCGGGAGGAGGAGGTCAAAAGCCAGATCAAGCCTCAGGTCCAAACCCCCCACCATAGGCCACTGAAGCCAGGAAGGTGGTCGGACCCCAAGTGCTCCTGGAGAGGTGTGCTCAGCTCTTGGGTAATCTGACCTTGTGGTAAACCCGACCTGGCTGGTTTCCCCGACCACTCCCCTCCCCTTCCCTGTAGAAACCAGAAACCAGTTTCTTCCTTCCCCATCCAGTGGGCATTAGAATCCCAGAGGCCTGTCCCCCACACCCCACTCACATTCCTGCCTGCTTGTTCTATTCTTGTTTCTGCAGAGGAGAGGAGAGGGACGCGTAAGCGCATTTGTGACACTTTCTGGTTGTGTGTGCCCTTGTGTGCCCACGCTCCTGGACACTGATGTGTCTGTGAGCTACTTACCCAAGGGGGAGTTTGTGTGTGCATGGGAGGGTGTGTCTGAATACCTAACTGCACACATTTAGATGTATAACCGTGATTTGCACTCCAACACCCCCACCCCCATTTTCCTGTTTGATGGCTCCAGGTTCTCCCCATCACCCCACCTGAAGCTCCCATCAGACAGTTCCCAGCAGTCTTGGGCCTGGCGGAGAGGGCAGTCAGCCTGGGCTGGAGCAGGCAGCCCTGGGAGTCTCTGCCTAAGAGCGGCTGACTTCCCTGCACACTTGCCTCAAACTTGCACGGGCCTCCCTCCTTTTCCCACACCTGTTGAGTCAGACCTCAGCTGGCCCAAAGAGCTGGCCAGATTGTCACGTCTGGCGAAGCCCTGAGGAGGGGTGGCCGGGGGGAGGACAGCAGGGATGGAATGTCCTTCCTGGTTTGCCATTTCAGTTAGAAATACCCAAGCAGGCAAAAGAGACCAACTGTTTAATTTAATTATACACACACAAGAGGCTCCAAATTCCTGACCCCTCGGGGCTCATCCTCAACTCTTTTTTCCACCAGGACCCACAGCTCATGTTCTACCACTGGCCCCTCCCACCCCTTCCCACCTCTAGCCCCCACAGGCTCTGCAGTCCAGGTGCTGTGCCCCCCCCACACCAGGGGTTCCTCTCCGTTCCCTAGAGTCTGGCTGTTCCCTAGACCTGCCTAGGAAGTCTTGGCAGGCCACTGCTGGGGAACTGTGACCCTGGGTAAGTCATGCCCCTCCTTGGGCCACTGATCCTTCACCAGCTATGAAATCCTAGAGTTCCCACCTAGAAGGAGCTGGGAGAAGGTGCTGGAAAAGAGAAAGAGCATCTGGGCTCTCTGGGCCTGGCTTCAACCCACACCCCCTCACCCTCCAGCCACATTTCCCCATTCCAGGGCCTGCCTGATGTCAGACCTGGCCTCTCATCTCATCCCCTCCTGGAAACATTCCTGGCGGTCCAGCACTGGCCAGATTCTTCCCGTCTCCACATTTGCAGATGACCTTGGGAGCTAGGCAGCGCATATAAACCCTCAGGAGGCCTCCACCAGAACCTGCCAACACTGCCAGACCTCCATCAAATTCCTGTTCCTGGAGAGCTCACTTCCTAGGGGTTCTTCCAGGTCCAATCTCTATCATGTATACACACACACACACACACACACACACACACACACACACACACATCTTGCATGCTTCTGTTGACCTCAGAAACTACCTTTCAAGATCGTGGGCAGAAACCTGACCATTTAATCCCACAACGCCTTTTCCCAGTGGTCCTCTGTCCACCCTGAAGGCAGAGTGTCCTATGACTCACACACACCCGCCAAGCCAAGTACACACTGGTTGACCTCCCTCTGGAACCCGGCTATGGAAAACAGCAGCCCCAGGTCCTCAGCCCTGCTTGGCTCCACTAGCCCTGACCCATATACCACAGAGCCCTGCTGCTCCTCCCCAAGGGAAGGGAAAACATTCTCTGGCTCCCTGCTGCATGTTCAGAACTATTACTCATTGTCCATCCCCCTGAAAACATATCTCCTGGTCCGTAAAGGAAAAAAAAAACAGTTTTTCATCATCTTGGAATGGAGATGTTTGTAGTCATACAAGCATCTCCATTCCATGTACAATCTTTCTAGTGGGGAAATAAGACTGTTGAACAAAAACAGACACGAAAAGCCATTTAACATTTATAATACTTTTTTAAAAATCAAAAAATTGATGGATCTGGAGACCATCATGTTGAGCAAAAAAAGTCAGATTCAGAAAGATAAATATTGCAGTTCTGCCTAATATGTGAAATGTAAAAAAAATGACAAGAAAGTAGAAGGGAAACTATTATTAGACAAGAGGAAAGGAATAAGAGGGAGGCGAAGGGTCATAAATGTGGGTAACAGGGTGGGTGGATGGGGCAAAAGATGCACACTGAATTCCTCTCCCCAAAAATGTGAAAGTGAGAGAGGGTGGGGTAAAGAGAATTGTGGGGGTGAAAAGGGTCAAAATTTATATGTACATGTACAGATCTGCCAAAATGAAACCCGTTAATCTGTATAACTAATAAAAAAGACAGTGGAAAGGGGAAAAAAGTAGAGATAAAAGACAAGGCAGTATTCCTTAGGACACCCAGCAGGCTACTTTCTTGAATATATGAATCAAAAAGAAAAAGACAGGGCTGGTGATTTAACTTAGTGGTTCCGCCGCCTGCCTTGCAAGTGCAAGGACCCAAGTTCGATCCCCGGTACCAAAAAAACAAAAACAAAAAAATAAGAAAAAGACAAACCACACAACAAAAAAGTAGCCTTTAGACATGAATAATATGAACTATCATACATGTGCCTGACATCATCCTAAGCATTTCGAACCTATTAAGTCATTTAGTTGTCAAGATAACTCTATGAGGCAGGTGTATATTGTTATCTCCATTTTAAGACAAGAAACTGAGGCACAAAGAATTTAAGTCAATTGCCCAAACTCACACAGCTGTTAGAAAACCTAAGATTTGAACCTCAGTATTTGGAACCACTAAATTACTTACAAAAAAGAATAAAGGAAAGAATAAAAGAATCAAAGAAAGGTAATCATTTAGCAAATATGAAAAGAAGCTACCCCCACTTAAATAAATATAAGAATAGAAATAAAAAACAATTTTTGCCTGTCAAACTATCAAAGACTAAAATATGTGAAAGCAGCATTTTGTGTTGGCAGCTGTGGAAGTAACAGAAAGCCTTATCATCTTCTCGGTGGAGTTATCAATTGGTACATCCTCTCTGGAGGACAAGGTGACAAAAGATCCCCAAATTAAAAAGACATTAGCCCTTACATCAATAAATGTAACAAGGGGGCCAGGGATTTAGCTCAGTAGTGCTGCCCCTGCCTGGAAAGTGCAAGGTCCTGAGTTCAATCCCTAGTACCAAATAAATAAATAAATAATAAATGCAACAAATAAAATTAATGCACTAGTCTTTGGACTAATTCCACTGCCAGGTTCTTATCCTGCAGGTGTTTGCAGTAAATGTGCACACAGGTGGCCTCTGCTGCAGTTGTTTTATAATTCATGAAAATCTGGAAGTATAAATGCCCCTCAATAGGGAAGTGATTAAAGGAAGTGAACTACACACACTCAGTGGAATGCTATTTATTGAAATGAATGGCTCCTTTATATACTGCTTGAGTTTTTAACCTTTATGTTGATTGCAAAATCACTGTAATTTTAAAACCCTTGCAGGGCTCATGCTATCCAACTGTACCAGGCCTCCATCCCTCTTCTGTGGCAGATCCCTGCTGGCCCACAGCCACCTCCAACCTCCTGGCCTTATGTTCAGTGGTGACCCTGGGACCTGGGCTCTGGCACTGCTTTGCACCTGGGTATCCTCATTCTCCACACAGATGACACACTCAGCTTCTTCTTCTCAGGGGTAAGAATTGCTTGAGCTGCTTAATTCCAGTAACTTTCACTTCCATCCTTTTTATCCTGACTCCACCTGAGGTCATACACTAGACTAGAGTCTAAACTTTAAACTATCCCACCTCTGAGAAACAGTTTAAACTTCAGGGCCACTTATTTCTAACTATTGTCAGCAAATGGATTCCCCAGCTACACCAACAACTCTAATCCTGAGCCCAGCTATTCCGTTTTCTCCCCAGCCACTACCTTCCTTCAGACTTCTTTCCCAGCTTGGGCCCCTTGACCATGGCTCACTCTCTGACCCTTTACCTGCAGTCTACTCTGCCTGGATAAATCCCCAGACCTCGGTGAAGAAAGTCACATCCTCAAGGTCTGATGTCACCCCCAACACACACCTCCAGCTCCACTGTGCCCTCTTAGATCCTGGGCCCTCCTCTCTGCTCCTGGCTGGTAGCCTCTCCCAGGTCATTCAGCTGCTACTGCAAACTTCTTCACCCTCTTCCTGTTCCCCATCTTACCCCTACCCTTCCCCTCAACAGACAAGCATGACATTCTTCTTTACTGAGAAGATCAAGGACATCTGGTGAAAATGTCTTTACCACCCATAATCCCCTCCTCACCTTTCTCTGTCCCTCCAACTGGGCCCTGGACTCCAGCCTCTCTCACCATTTCAGTCCATCCACCAGTCACACCACCTTCCTAACACTTTCATGCCCTCTGGATCCCCTTCTTCCCTCCTCTGGCCACCTTCCCCTTTCCCTTCACGACACAAACTTTTATTGGAGCTGTGGGATGGGAAGTGTCAGATGTCAGTGGTCATGTTTCAAGGGAGTGAGGAAGTACAGACTGAGAGCTGTGATTACAGTGTCTAAGGCCATTTGGCAGAAAGGGAAAGTGAGGTAAGAATTTAGTTAGCTTGAAAAGAAAGGATGATTTCATGACAGATGAAACCTGAGCACATGGGTGACACAAGAGTCAGAGACATGTTTAAGAGAGCTTACATATGAAGGAGATTAGAGCTAATTAGTGGAACAAGGTCCAGAGGGCTCAGTCTAAGAATCCAGTGAGACCAGTCATGGTCCCCAGGAGAAATGCCTCCAGGTCTATGGCAGGATTGAGATGCTCGGGGAGAACAAGGGTCTAGACATTCATCAGTGGGCAACAGAGACCAGATCGGAGACTGGTCCACAGGCTGTAAGAGAACAGCTACTTCTACTTCAGATGGACACAGGAACAACATTTTGTGGGTCTGTTCTGAATTCTCTATAATTGATCGT